ATCTATCAGCAACAAGTTCTGCTTGGAGCAGTTTGCTGGATCAGATGATGACAGAAGGTTCTTCACAAGGTAAATTAAAATGTCCACCTTTGTTTAAAGGGGTCATATAATGGTACATGCACTTTTACAAGTTGATTGTACTGAAATGTGTGTTGGCAGTGCCTGTACACAACCATCATTTAATGATAAAAATCCATCCAGTGTTTTTGTTTTAATCTCCTTATATGTTTTCCCCTGCCTCAAATCGAGCCGTTCGTTTTTGTGACGTCAATAAAACGGACGCCCCTCCCGCGATTGTTGATTGACAGCTTGTGATTCAACACAGACCCGCCCTCGCTCGTGAGGGAGCTGTCAATCATAGTCCGCGCGGTCATTGTTGATATGCTGGAGCACTGTCTATGAGCAGAATGGCGTCTAAGCGATTGTGGTGTTCTGTTCTTGGGTGTAATAACGAACACAGTCATTTTAATGTTCCTAAATCCGAACCGCTGAAGACGCAGTGGCTGAGTTTGTTTTCGAAGGGAATATTCCCCACGAGCAACGTCAATGCTTTCATGTTTGCCGAATCATTTCTCAGCAGACTGCTTTATAAACGAGGATCAGTGTAAAGCTGGTTTTGCTGAGAAGCTGCACCTGAATAAAGGATTGGAACCTATTCGTCTTCCTGCTGAACCTTCAGAAGAACTAAAGTGAGTGTAACGTTTTATTAATCTTTATATTAATATTTATATAATCTTTGCAAATCGCCAGCTGCACGCTTCACGATGAATGCGTCGGTTTACACTCAGGGTACATTACAGCATGTTTTCTATGTACAACGTTCTCAATATAATTCATAATCCCACGTTTATAATGAACAACGCGTGGTTATTGTGTTATTGTGTTACAAACGGTGTATGCGCAGAACAGAGAGGCGGGGTGAGCAAAGCTCATTATCATTTAAAGTCATATGCACTGAAACGGCGTGCTGAAAACAGAGCTGTTTTTGACCAGGTAAAATAAGTGTTTTCTTACAATACTAATGAGAATTTTTAATTAAAGTATATTACAAACTTTTAATTTAGACCCTAAAGAATCATATTAGCTTGTACAAAAATGGCATTATATGACCCCTTTAATATAGACGTTTTAGAGCTTTCAACATTGATTAGTATTATTAAGCCTATCTGTTTAAATGTTGCATGTGTGATGTGTGATGTGTGATGTGTGTTGTTGTAAGCTACTGGAAACCTTGAATTTCCCTCGTGATGAGAAAAGTATCTATCTAAAACTATCTAGATCTATCTACTAGTGCATTGTATTTTAAAATACTGAGAAGAGCCGTAAGCAAAAGGACTGACGTGTGTGGTCCAGTTTCTGACCTGAGTGCCTAAATGTTCCAGGATGTTTACAGTAACTGTCAATACGGATGCTAACATGCTTGCAATTTAATGTTGTGTATGGGCACTTGATGTAATGTAATGAAATGTAACACCTCCAGTATGTCCCACTGATTTGCAAGTCACGCCCACCTGATGGCCTTTTGGAAGCAGACAGAACCTGCAAGATGGTACGGGTGACAAGAGCACGAAGTATGAATGATGAGGTCCCTCACACTGGCAGTGCAACGGGGAATATATTGTTCTTACAAAGCAAGATATATTGCATAATCTTATCAAATCCTTACATCTAATTCTTTCTCTATGCAGATTCTTCAACCCATTGATGAATTTTTTCTCTTTATGAATGACTTGTCATTGGGTCTGATGCAGAAGGGTCTGGCCCACAGATTCAAAATCCACCAGTCAACTGTAAGCCGCATCATAAATACATGGGCTAATTTCCTGCTTACTGTACTAGGGGCTGTGGGTATTTGGCTGGACGGGCAGCATTAATCAACTTTACACAGTCGCATGTCTTTTGGTCAACTATCAAAATGGCCCCTTGGTTAAAGCCTGGGCAACACAATGATGTGTAACATTTACAAGTGATGAATAGTTTACACTTTAGATTAGGGAATAGTTTACACTTTAGATTAGGGGAAGCAGAAAGTGTTGTAAATGAGTTATCCATGCGTTTACACATCTATACAGGGGCGGATCTAGAAAAATATTTATGGGGTGGCAAGAGGGGGGCAGGAATTTTTGAGGGGTGGCAACATGGCAGACGTATATATACTGAATTTAATCACAGTTACCACAGTTTGATGAGAAATCATGTATACACACTACAAAAGGGCATTATTTGTATCTGTTTTGTGTGTTTGTGTCTGTGTGTGTGTGTGTGTGTGTGTGGGGGGGGGGGGGGGGGGGGGGGTTGAACTATACTAAGTTGAACTATACTAAGTTGAACTATACTCCACAGTGATGAATCCTAAAACAAGCTATAAGCTGCAATCTGTGGTGAGTGCAGAGTGCACCTCTGTCCCTCTAGGGGGGTTCGGGGACATGCTCCCCCGTAAGAAAATTTTGTGCTTTTTAATGTTAAATTCATCAATCTGGTGCACTTTGAGGGTTCAAAATAAAGAGCTCCAACCCATATTCAGTGTCCAAATTGAACAAAGAAAAACTCAAAACTCTTTTTAGTTGTGATATAGTGTCTGTCTACATTACACTACTATATAATAATAGTTATAATATTATGGCCAGTCCAGCTCTGTGAGTATAAAGGCAGTGGTGCATTTAACTTTTGGAGCCAAGGTGTGCCGACCTTTTTTCCCTTTTTTATATATATTATTTTGTTGAGCACCCAACAATAATCAATTTATAGAATCAATTATATCATTTAAATACTACTAAGATCCATATTACTATCACACGAGCCAATGGCAATTAAATGCACGGATGCATAACGTTAGTCAGATTAATGAATGAAATACAACTGTTCACGAACAGAAGATTGTATTGGACTCATGCTGCATACATACGCAATGACAATTATGCCTACTGTAAATATAGAGTTACAACTACTATTGGAGTTGTTAAATAAAATACCCTGTGAACATTCACACGTTTGCTTTATGATAGGCTAAAATTTATCTCCATAAATATTAAATAATATTTTCTTAATTCTGCGCATGTTTTTTACTTACTTACATCAATTGATCGATCAATATTATTATCACATATTTTACATTTATATTTTTAACTGTACACAAACAACTTAATATAGCTAAGTTTGTGTATATTTTACACGTAGTAAAATACTGTACGCTACTGCTTATAAACACCAGACAGTTAATGATATATGAAACAGATGTTCTTTACTCATCTCACTTGCACAAAATAAATGCAGTAATATAAAGCATAGAAACGCACAGGTGAAATACACTGAAAATGATATATGCATTTAAAAATTTGGTCGGGTTGAAAACTTATCTCTCTGGTAATGGAACTCGGTCGCTGTTGTCTCTTGCTCTCGCTGTCTCCCGCTCTCGCGGTAAGATCACCGGAAGTTTTCGCCGGAAGTATTTGCCCACACAATAAAGTACGAACGTCAACGGTCGTCATATTATGCACGGAGCGAATTCACTGCAGTCGGACATTGGAGATTCGCGTTCGTAAATTGTCAAATTGGCCATAACTTTTAATTCGTTGCTGCCAACTGGGGTGGCAGCAGGGGTGGCAAGGCTTTCTTTTAGGGTGGCATTTGCCACCCTATGCCACCCCGGTAGATCCGCCCCTGCATCTATAACAGGTAGTGTGTAGTGTAAGTGCTGACTGGTGAGGGTACAAAACTTATTTTGACTTATTTTACATTTATTTATTTTACAATTACAATTTATTTTACAATTTGATATGTTACAATCTGTGTATGTGATGATTAATATTGAATGTTGTAAATAAGACAGTTGACAAAATAAACTTTAAAATGATTGTACAATAAATGCAAAAATTCACGCGTCTGTTCAGTTACTTTTCATAGAGAGGTATTTGGGCATGTATGTGTTAAAGAAAAACAAATCACGACCGAATGTTTCAAAGAGTATATGAAACATGTTAATAATCCCCCCCCCCCCCTTTTTTTACTTGAAACATCAAGTAAAAAAGCAAGGAAGTTGGGCCTCAAGTTTATAAAGAATGAGGTAAAGATGACAGGACAGGTTTGAGTAGAACAACAGCAGTTTGAAGAATAGCTGAGTGGAATATTTTACTGTCTTTGCAGTCATCAAGTCAGGCAAAAGTAGTAATCTCATTATTGTTTACATTTTAAACCGAACTCCAATTTGTTTAACAGACCCAAACAACAAAGCATGGCAATTCCCACTCAGCCACCCTGTTCTGTATTAGGCCACCCTGTTCTGTATTAGGCTACCACTGTTCAGCTTTCGTGAAAACCACAAAGGTGCTCTCTTAGAAATGCTCATCAAAGCTGAAATGTGGTAACATTAAACGAGTAAAACATTTGTTGAACAGAACCTTAAACAAGTTCAACAGAACTTTTGAACGTGTCACTTAATCTAGTCCTACTTTCAGCTGGTGTGGTGGCTTTAGCTTCTTCATTGAGCGGTAGCAGTGGGCTCTCACAGATATCTCATTTGTTGCCCTATTTTTACCTGATACTTTAATAAAAGTACAAACACATGAAGTGAGAGGTATATACACATAATTAAACTTTATTTAAAGCATGATTAACCTGAAGCAGGACGGAGTCATGACTTAAAACACTACGCTAAAACGCTAGCTAGCGTTAGCAAATTACTTTCAAAGTTGCAAAGAAATAAAGAAACGTAAAATTTAAAGCCTTTATCTAATTTGCTGCGTGGTGTTGTCGTACTGGATGCCCGGACGATCCTCCGGATATCGTTAACAGACACTTTGGCAACTCCAGCAAACACCTTGTGAACTTCGTCTCTGCCATCGTAAATGTCGACTGTCACTGTTTAATGTTTTCTTCCGTTAACCGGAAATATCCAAACATTCTTACGCCAATGCGGAAGTGATGCGTGCATAGAGCCCATTACGAGCCGAGCCGAGCACTTTACGAGCACCTCCCGACCTCCTGATCATTTTTAAACATGTTTCTAATACGCATGCTAACACACACGCTGCTTTATTTAATAGTGAAGTCTGAGTCTCTTCCACCTGTATGAAACACATTTACACATGTATTTCTCCTCATAGACAGCAGTGAGACTCTTCTGTGGATCACCTGATGGTTTCTGCTCCTCTCATCTCCGTTTCACAGATTTAAACTATGATGTAAATCCACTGTCGTTTGCCGATCGATCTTAATCTACTCTGTAAAGTAGAACAGAAGAGAAAACAATCAGTGTTCAGCGGAACAAAGTGCAAATTATTTTATTTCAATTACTGTTTTCTGAGTAAAAATAAGTTAAATTGAATTCCTGTAATCGGATTAATAACCGACTTTAAATTATCTTGCATATATATTTGTGTTTTTAATAGGGCTTTCAAAATAACACGTTAATTTCGATTAATTAATCTGAGAAGAAATAACGCGTTAAAAAAAATAACGCAGATTAATCCATTCCGTTTTGACCTTTGCGGAGCCATTCTAGCCATAGCCACCATTCGTGTAAAAAGGAGGAGGGAGACAAGAACGCGCTGCTTGGATCCTTGTTTGGAACATTTACTTATAACAAACGGAGTTCGTCAACTCTAAAGTACCACATCAATGCAAAGCATCCAGGAGTGTGTGAGTGTGTCTGAGAGAAAGCGCGCTTGTGTGTGTGTGTGTGTGTGTGTGTGTGTGTGTGTGTGTGTGTGTGTGTGTGTGTGTGTGTGTGTTGTAACTTTTCACGCGCTCTCACGTCACACAACCATTTTCTCACGCACAGAAAAATCGCGCACCAAAGAGAGGACACGGAAACAGACAAGACAGACGTTATTATGATATTAAAAAAATCTCAGCTCTCAGATTCTGTCAATTTTATTACGAAAATCAAACAATAAATACCGTTTTGGCGCTTGTAAATGTGACATGAGTCATGACAGATCCCATAGCGGCACGTGAACCGATCATCTCTAGCTAATAGTAAATAAACACGAATGAACAATGTTGAAAGATACAGTAGGGCAGCCTAAAACTTACCGAAATGTATATTCCTCGATCAATCAGTGTTTTTCAACCGCGAAAAGAGGTCAATAAAACAGCTGGAGAACAATTATGTCACATAACATTTAGCCTAAGTTACCTCAGGAAAGCCATTTCATGTCCATATAGCACGTTATAGTTGGCTATAAAAAAAGAGCTATGGAGAGTATTTTTCTAAATTTATGTAGCCTACTACTACTATATTACATATGTATTATATTTTTACTTAAATATCAAAGTTGTTATTTGTAATAAACAAGCATTATATTTAATTTGATCTATTTTTAACCTTAAATACTACCAGCTGATATGGCTCTCTGTATTTTTACAGCATTGGGTGAGATTTTTTTTTTCTTGAGAAAAATGAATGCCTATATCTTGTATACCTAATATTTATCCAAATGAGTCAATATTGCATCAAATCACAAGAATTAAATTAAATTTAAATCGTGAAATTTGTGTCAAGCAATAATAATAAAAACGTAGCTTACCAGAAATTGTACCATGTAAACATTGTAAGATTGTGTATGCGATTAATTTAGATTAATTCATTATAGAGTATGTAATTAATTAGATTAAAAATTTTAATCGATTGACAGCCCTAGTTTTTAAATATAATAGATGTAAAACCTGAATCATGTTCATATGTGTGTGTGTGTGTGTGTGTGTGTGTCGGTGCGACTCCTATTGAGTCTCTGTAAAGGAGAAACTAATGAGTGTACGGCGTATGGAATAAACCACAGGGAGCAAATACTAATGTTATTTTGAGTTAAACACAAACCTTTAGTTAAAGCCGTTTGTCCTCTAGTTTAAACATGTTTGTAGGCTCTTAGTAAATAACTGAGAGTAAAGTAAGTGTAGAGTAGTGTGACGTGTTGCTTGTCACAGTAAAACACACTAGAGACAGAGACATTGCTCATGTGAGCTGGACGCTGTGAGCTGAAGCTGGAACTGCACTGATTTTAGCAGGAGTGCAGCGTTTCCTACAATCTGACCAAGTCTGTTTTCACACTGAAATGATTCACTTCTACTGACACAGTTCATAAAGCAGGTGTTGATGTATAAAGCTGTGACAGTGAGCTTTTCTTCTCTTTCCTCCTTTGTGTTCAACATTTCAATAACTTCACATCAAGGATTGTTCACAAATCAGAGGTAAATGAAGATCTCTTTAATATCTCAGTGATGTTTCCTCACCTCAGGACACAGTTTGAGTCTCGTAGCTCGTCTCTGAGCCGCTGCTGTGAGTCTCCGATCTTATTGCCTCTCAGATCAAGCTCTTTTAAAAACTGCAGTGCTTTTGAGTTAGTCAAAGACTGAGTTAAAGAAGAAACATCTGTAATGCCACAGTACTGTAGACTAGAGAGACACAAACAGAGGAAGAGAGATTATCTTACAAACAAATCATGAATGTGAAGAATTTTACACAAATATAATGTGAACTCAGACTCACTGTCAGATATTGAGAATAAAGTGTTTTAGTTTAATAAACCCAGAAAGTGCACTGCTATAACCAATGAAACATAAGCCCTGCTGTCTTCAAATAAATAAACTTCAGTCACACTGTAATTGCTGTACAGTATAATGACACTAACTGTAGTTTCTCCAGCTTGAATTGTGGGTTCATCAGTAGATCACTGAGGTTTTTCACTCCAGAGTCTCCTAGATTATTCCAGCTCAGGTCCAGCTCTCTCAGGTGTGACGGGTTTGATTTCAGAGCTGAAGTCAGGATGAGACTCTGTTCCTCTGTAATACTGCAATAACTCAGACTGAAGACAGAGAAATAACAATAGTTCACATCTATGATGATCATCTTATTGAAGAGCTACAGCAGCATTTAGTTTTCCAATAGTCTGTTTTTAAAACCCAGTCACACTAGTTCTGTGCGCTGGAAGACACTGTTTCTTCTCTTTCATTTTTAAAAAGACTTATCTCTTATTTATTCTCTGTAGAAAAGGCACATTTCTGCATGTACACAATCAGTACATTGTATCAGATGTTGGGAATTAAACAATTACTATCTAGATAAAAAAAACACATAAAAATGTGAGCAATAGGGAAACCCAGAAAGTGCACTGCTATAAACAATGAAACATAAGCCCTGCTGTCTTCAAATAAATAAACTTTCAGTCACACTGTAATTGCTGTACAGTATAATGACACTAACTGTAGTTTCTCCAGCTTGAATTGTGGGTTCATCAGTAGATCACTGAGGTTTTTCACTCCAGAGTCTCCTAGTTTATTCCAGCTCAGGTCCAGCTCTCTCAGGTGTGACGGGTTTGATTTCAGAGCTGAAGTCACATCAGAACAACCTTCATCTGTCATATCACAGTATCTTAACCTACATTAGCAGAGAGAGAGAGAGAGAGAGAGAGAGAGAGAGAGAGAGAGAGAGAGAAGAGAGAGAGAGGAGAGAGAGAGAGAGGAGAGAGAGAGAGGAGAGAGAATGAAGAAAATAAGAGACTCTTTATTCTGTAAAGTCACATCATCTTCATCAGCAAATAAAACAGACAGAGGAAGAGAGATCTTCATCTTTATTTCACCAGATCACAAAATACTAAGGTGAAAATGTTTGTACAAATATAATGTTAATGTGTTCTAGTTTAAACAGTTGAAGTGATTTTAAGCATTTTGATTCTTGTATGTGAATGTGACTGACCTCAATCTCTCCAGTTTTACAGTGTGAAATCCTTCAGTACGGCACATAAGTGCTTCACTCCTGAGTCCTCCTAGTTTATTCATGCTCAGGTCCAGCTCTCTCAGGTGTGACGGGTTTGATTTCAGAGCTGAAGTCAGGATGAGACTCTGTTTCTCTGTAATACTGCATCTATACAGACTGAAGACAGAGAAATAACAATAGTTCACATCTATGATGATCATCTTATTGAAGAGCTACAGCAGCATTTAGTTTCCAATAGTCTGTTTTAAAGCCCAGTCACACTAGTTCTGTGCGCTGGAAGACACTGTTTCTTCTCTTTCATCTTTAACTATTTATTTGACGTCTCTCTTCTTTATTTCTCTTCTTTACAGAACAACCTTCATCTGTCATTATACAGCGGCTTTAACCTACATTAGCAGAGAGAGAGAGAGAGAGAGAGAGAGAGAGAGAGAGAGAGAGAGAGAGAGGGAGAGAGAGAGAGAGAGAGAGAGAGAGTGAGAGAGAGAGAGAGAGAGAGAGAGAATGAAGAAAATAAGAGACTCTTTATTCCAGTAGCTAGGGCTGTCAAATTTAGTCGATGCCGTCTTGGTCGACTGACATTCTTATTGGTTGACCAGTTGCATTTTTTTTTTTTACCAATAGAAAGAAATTTTCAATGATTTACTCCTTGATATTTATTCCTTTATAAGCAGTTATATATTACTGCATTCTAAATATAATTAGCCTATGGTTTATCCCCAACTTTAAATGCTTTAATTTAGGCTATTTTGTAACAGCGCCACAGTTTAGCGCACACACATAGAACACTCGGTTCGCACGGCTGGCTGCACTGCTGCTTCATGCTCAGTAAGGGATAGGTAGTTCAGCTGTATTCATTCAGTTAGAACGCTACTTGTTTCGGTTTTTATACACTATATCAGGTCCGTAGCCAGCCTATTGAAAGGGGGGGTTATGTTTTTCAAAAAGTGGACATTTTTGCAGTTTTTTTCCTCCTTTTGTATTTAATTATGAGGTTCAAATACTTAATTTTGGTGACCTTTTATGCACTAATTTGTGCTGGATTAGCTTGTCTGCTGGTTAATGAGCACGCTTTTTGATGCACCTAAAATATTTTATTATTATAATTACTCTACGTTTATATGGCTATTATATTGTAGTCTATTGAGTGGACAAAATATAGAAATCCTTTTAATAAAAAAAAATAAAAAAATACATATACAGTATATAATATATATATATATATATATATATATAACTCCTCCCCCAGGTGAGAAGGATATTACCCCTCTAGGGGGGTCCGGGGGCATGCTCCCCCGTGAGAAAATTTTAAATATTCCATATTTTAAAGCATCAATCTGATGCATTTTGAGATGCATTTTTTGCCGTCTATCTATAAAATAGTTTATTGAGCCTTTTCTTTTAACAGTTTTAAATGTCAGTTACTGTGCGCGTGAAGAATGATAGTGCTCTCCTGTGTTCTAACAAAGGAACATGGTTAAGATACAGCAATGCAGTCCAGCAATATAGTCATTTTATGCGAAACCATAGAGCTTTATCTACAGATCAAGTATAGCCTAATAATAGTAACAGTGAATCATCTTGGAGGGAGTTTCATCATGTTGACTGTCGTAACCGAACGCAACGCGCTGTTTGAACGCTGAATGGAGAATGAATGACAGACAGCCGCAGCAGACGGAAACGTTTGCGTGAACTTGAATTTAATAACTTAAAAGTTAATTTGATTGTTTTTGTCGATTGATTTCATAAATCAGATTTATTACTTGTCCTAAACTACAACGAGTAAGATCATTCCCCGGAATCGATTCCAACCATTGCATTTTGAACCTTTGGAATCGACTCTCAATTCCCAACGCCTCGGAATCGATTCTTTTTGGACTCGATCCCCAGCCCTATCATTCAGATGCGATGCTTCTTCACCGTTGGTTTGAAAAGTGTATTGCGAGAACTCTCTCTGAACTGCACGCGCGGCGCACACACACACACGTCCAGCTACACAATAATCATATTAATTTGAAACAGCAACCAAGAATATTTGTCACAAGCACTGATTAAAACAATGATGACAATAATCACATAAACATTTTTTTTTTTTTAACGACTTAAATTCTGGACCTTTGGCAGTGAGGGGGGTTCGTTCGAACCACCCGAACCCCCCCTGCCTACGGGCTTGTATATGTTTTTATCTCGATGCGGCGTGGAAAAAAAGAGCGCGTCGCACCGCGACCGCGTTGCTTCCATCATGAGCGCGCACACCGCGCGCCTACATTTGAAATCGAACTTGAGCGCGCAAAAGACGTGAGCAGTCCCTTTAACGGCTTTATCATGCTGACTCAATAGATTGTGTTTTCTTGATATGTTTTTGTTTTTATTTGTACACTTGACACATTTGAAAATAGCCTAAATAATGTAACAAAACGAAAATAAACCTATATGCGGTCCTACAATACAGCCTATTATTATTAGGATTGTTTTTAGGCTCTTTGTTTTTTTTGTGTGTGTTTGTTTTAAAACTCCTAGATCGGCTGGACAAAAGTTAACCCATAGCTTTGAAAGTAAAGAAGAATACAGCCTGTATAAACGAGAGCTTTTGTTAGGATTTTTCATTGTGGCAGATAGCGGTTATATTTTTTTGTAGCGTGTGGTGTGGTCAGGTGCGCGATTGTGACTGTTACAGACAGTGCACCTCACTTTTTGCAGTTAAAAAAAAAATCACTTAATTTTCAAAGAATTGTATTATTATTATAGTTTTAGGTATTTTTTTTATGTTTTTTCGTTGTTGTTTTATAAATGCTCTATGACAATTGTTACATTTTTTTAAATCAAAACATCGCGTTTTTTTGTTGTTGTTTTTTTAGTCGACTAATCACTGCGCAGGACTACAGCCCTACCAGTAGCACCTCACTGCAGACACGAGATCCAGGGGGCGGAGTTGGATCCAGATTTAAGGGGTGGAGATTGGTAGGTTAAGGGGTGGGTTTAAGGATCAGGGGGTGGAGATGGGTAGGTTTAGGTATATGTAAGGTGGGAGGAGTTGGATCTGGATCCAACTCCTCCCCCTGGATTTCGTGTTCTGCAGTGAGGACCATCTCCTTTATTCTGTAAAGTCACATCATCTTCGTAAGCATTATTTGACCACATCACAAAATACTACGGTGAAAATGTTTGCAGAAATATAATGTGAATTTAGACACATTGTGAGATATTGAGTATAAAGTGTTTTAGTTTAAACTTTTGATTCTTGTATACGTATGTATCAGTGACGAGTCGTGCATTTCACACCTAGGCCTTCAGTGATGTCCAAACTGAATTAATAACTTTAAATAGTGTAGCTAGCAGCGCATATACTCTCTATATTTGTTGTGAAATTGCTGTTTTTATTTTGCACCGGCAGTTATTGGGTTAATGCGGAGAGTTTGGGAAAGGCCGAGAGAAACGAGCGAGTGAGTTCGGCTTGTGCGTTTGTGTTCAGTGGTTCTTGCGTTCTGATTATAAGTTCAGAAACGGAGCCGCCCTTTTCTTGTCCTTCAAGGGTTACAATAGTCCCTTGTTAGACATTACAATAGTATAACAACAGTAGAATAAAAAAAGAAGTTTCCATCATAAATTTACAAGAAAAATGAAGAAGAAAATCATATTCACCACGGAAAAAACGGGGGCAAAAAATTCATTATACTCACCAAAACTACTGATTATTTTATACACAAAATCCATCCTAATTTCTTTCCTCAAAAAGACTTCAATTACTTGGTTGTACATGTTATCTGTGCATTTCAGTCCCAACAACCTTTTCTATCGCCATCGAGGCTAATGCTGAAAGTGGAGTGTGTCCGTCGTATTTCTGGCATGAGTTTGAATTGGCTTTAGTGCTGAGAGTGTCTGCTCGACAGAAGCAGTAAACAGGGACAGTCTCCGCGACACATGCCGATGTGTACAGCTGACCCATGCTCTCACACCGATGTTTGAAGGAAATCAATGAGATCAGCGGGACGTTTGCCTTCATAATCAGTCATGGCATACATTACAGTCAGTTCATTCTGTTCTTATCCGGGACAGATCGAATAGCGTTCCGTGACTCTGCGTTAAGCTGGATAAGGCTGAATAAGGGATTTTTTCTATTAAATCTACAGGAATATATTTTAGTTTATGCAGTTCGCTACAGATGCGGTTAGCTAGCTCTGACCAAAGGCTCTGACTAATAGTAATAGTACACGCTCTGACCATCCAATCAAAGGACGTGAAAATGCAGACGTTATTGTATGCCTGCTAGATGGCCCCGCTGCAGTCAAATCGAAATCTGATTGGCTGATTAAATCTGACTGATTATCTGATTGGTTAAAGCAACAGTTTCATTGCCATTCATTTAAGCTACAGGCGCCCGCTCTATTGATTCTGAAGGCATCAAGGCAGATTTCGTTGGCCATGACAACACATGATGGCTGAAATATGATTGGATAAAAGCTCTAACACAGGGACGTGCACAGGGGGGTTGCTCAGGTTGCCCGGGCAACTGCCCATATGCCCTTCTCGACTCAGGTTGCCCTTCCGAGAAAAAAAAAAAATCGTACAATGGATGCAGAATTTCACGTAGGCCTATATTAAAATAATAATAAAAAAATAAAAATAATCGCAAAGCCTCATTCACTTCCATTCGGGCACCGAAAGTGAAAGTCAGTAAGAGAAGGGCAAACTGTTTACATGGCTGTAGCGCTGCACGCGACCATAGACTGCACGCGACCGGCGTAGGGCCACGCAAATTACTTAAGGCCCCGCCTCCATCTCGTGTCATGTGTACAACATCCATGACAAAATGAAGCGACACTATCCTTCTGGTCACGAAAAGAGGAAGAAGAAAAAACCATTAGAGTGAATTGCGGGAACAACAATCAGGTAAACTTGTGTTCTCTGCTCTCTAAGTTTGATGTCAGCAAAGTTTGATGTTTTTCGGTCTTGCTAACCTAGCTGGGCAGGCAGTGCATCTCTTGCATCACTTTGTGCCTGACAAAAGTGAGAGTAAAATACAATTATTTATTACGTTTGTTTTTGATAAACGACAAAGTGCAACGGTGTTTGTTTACTGCAGCTCAGAAAACATAACCACGTCGTGTGTATTATCGTGCGTTCAAATGCGCGTGCACGAAATGAAACGCGCATTTTTC